CTTGTCCAACATGTAGATCTGGGGGTACATGCCCCTTGTGCCCCCCCCGGTGCATGCAGTGGCGGGGACCGCCACCCCCTGTGCCCCCTGGACAAGCCATTCGTGGCTCCCCCCTGGACGAGCTGTTCACAGCTCCATCCCATACCTCGCCCTGCCCTAGCTGAGCAGCACCTGCCCCTGACTAACTCCATCCCTTATCATGGGGCCTTGATTTGCCCTCCCCCCTTAAAAACAAGAAAAAAGTATAAAAGGGTACATGAGCTAAAATTTTGAGACAGAAGGGGTACACTTGTTAAAAAAGGTTGAAAACCCCTGGTCTGTAAGATTTCTCTCTAAGATAACTACCAAATGAGATGATCTAAAGGACAATGCTGGCACAAGAAGAGAGTATCTTAAGCTGACCATGAATAAAATTTAGCCTGGAAATTAGCAGGTTTTTGAACCATCAGAGCAGTAGGGTTCAATGACATTCCAGTCAGAGGAGCTGGGGCCAAAAAACAGACCATCTTTAAGGTAGTGTTTGATCAACTGATGAACAGGATTACATGATAAGCAGGGATCTGTGTTTGCCATTTCCCACTAAAAAATGGAATAAAATATGGATTTCCCCCTTTACCTGAGAAAAACACATTCTCACTTTAACAGAGAAACCTATGGGTGTTGCAGTTTTGGAAAGAGCTCCCTGCGGGCTGGCAGAATTACAGCCTGCAAGGGGCCGGGAGGGAGCAGGAGGAGGGCAGTCTGGCAGGCGGTGCCATGTGCATGAATATGTACATGGCTGCCAGGCAGCTTGGAGAGCAGCTCCTACAAGCAAATCAGGGAAGGGGGTGGGATTGAGGCCCCCATAGGGGGAGAGGAAGGGAGTTGGGAAGGGCTGGGGCTGCTGCCCGGCTGGGCGGTGCATGGGGCTTGCAGCCTGGCTGCAGGTTCCTGGCAGTTCATCCAGGAGGCAGGGGGGTGGGGCCAGCTCCCTGCAGCTGCATACACTCCCACCGGAGGAATGTGTGTGGGGCAGGGGCTGCCAGCTGCAGGCTCAGGCTCCCTGCCCTGCTGTCCTCCCCCAGGGCCTCCTCAGCCTGGTGGGTGCAACCTGGTGCGGCAGGGCAGAGTGGGACTGGGTGGGGAAGCTCCTTGCTGCCGCAAGCTCCTTGCTGCCCCGGCAAAGTATCCCCTGCCTGCACAGCTACAGTGGTGCAGGGCTGTGTAGCTCGCTACTGTCGCACGGGCAGGGGACACCTCGCCAGGGCAGCCCAAACCTCGAAGCGGTAAGGTACTTCTCCACACAGCCCTGTTCTGCCCTGCTGCACCAAATCGCACCCACTGGCCTGCAGAGGCTCCAGGGAGGGCAGCAGGGCAGGGAGCCTGAGCCCACATCCACCCTACGCACAGATGTGGGGGGCACAGGTCCCCCGCACTGCCCCAGGAGTACGTGCAGCAATAGGGAGCCACCCCCGCCTGAACCCACCACAGGCTGGCAGCGAGGCAATGGGGGGGCAGGGAGGGGAGTCAGGCTCCTCTCCACGACAGCAGTTGGGGTTTGGGTGCTGCTGCAGGGGGCAAGACTGTGGACCTGGGTCCCTGGCCCCATAGCCCTGGCAGCTGGGGGCCCCCTCTGGTAGGGCTGGGGAGGCAGGAGTGAGGGGCAGCAGCAAGGCCTTGGGAGCTGTGGGGAATGAGGGGCACCGGTAGGGCCAGCGGGCTGTGGGTGGGAAGTGAGGGGCATGAGCAGGGCCGGGGGGCTGTGACCCTGGGAATGAGGAGCCTGGACCTGTGTTGTGTTAGCTAAGGGGCCATGGGGAGCTCCAATTTTCCATGATAAAAAACTCCAAAATCAAATACCAAGATTTATATGGATTTAGAATTTATTTTGTTATAGTGATTATGACACTCCAAATTGCTTTAAATTGTAAATATATCAAGAAAACATTGTGTTCAACTGATACCTATATATATATATATAGTGGTCTTTCATTTTAGTCACAGATCTGGGGGCTTTAATCAGAGAATTTACAATTTTTTACCAGCGAAAACCAGGGTCCCTGATGATAAGATAGCTGCAGCAGAAGGATACTAGATTTGATTTTGCAGAAGGTCCTTTCTAGTTCTCTGTTTCTCTGATTCTCATTTTACTATCTTAATGTAAGCATGCCAAATTTAAGGTTGAGCTATTTTCTTTTTACAGAAGTTTCTGTTCACCTTAATTCCCTTTTCACTGTATGCACACCACAGCCCTCCCCTCCAAAAACCAAAATGCTTATTAATGCATCAATACCTTTCTGTTACGATTCCATTATAAAATACAATGTGAATGATAGTTCAGATTAACCTGTTTTAAGCAAGCACAGCTCTCAGATTTGTGCTATTCCTGCTTTCTTTCAGAACTATCCAGACCAAAAAAGGCACTTAATCTAGAGACCTCCATCCAAATGAAAAAGTCAAGTGTATAATTTCATTTGCCTTCACAGATTAATATAAGGGTAAGCTTGGCTCTGTACCTTGTGACTGACTGCTATTCATATCACCTTTGATCCACACTGGTGGATAATTGTACAACTACTGTGATGCCATAAAGCTTAAGGAAATGCCAAAATATGCACCAACAATACATTTTTATGCCACAGCTATTGTAAAGAACTATTTTGAGATCAATTTACTTTTTGTTCTTGCCAAAGAACCCAGGTGGTAAATAACAGAGTGGCAGGCACAGCAAATAAAATAAAACAAAAAAGAATTACTCAACAATAAACGGCATTGAAGCTGGCTTTATTAGATAGTGTTGTCAGACTACCTTAATAATTCAAGTTTTGAGATGTGTTTTAAAAATAAGTGCATTTCCTACTCTGTGGCATATTAATTTATTAATGATCACAAAGAACTTTGAAGAATGCAAATCATAGTACAATAGGCAGAGATAAGAGAGGCCTCTTAACTCATCTTTCTTCTCTCTGCCAGTGCAGGAATGTTTCTGCATACACTTCATAACATACACTTCTCAACACTTTCTGAGGGCTAATAAGGTGTATGATCCTTTTAAGACATTGAGTAAGGGTGCTTACCCCTTTGAAGAATCAAGACACAAAGGTGGCAGCTTTCATCTCTAGGAAATTATCCCACCTTGTGCAAGATCCGTTTGGGGTTTTTTTACATTAATACAGGAGATTTATTTTTGTTACAATTAAATAAGAGCTACATATATCAAACTGCAAGGTCATAGGGGTTGGGCAGGGTGTGCGAGTGAGAGAAAGAAAATCTGGAAAAACTGTTTGGCATCTGTTTAATTAAGAAGGGTCTGATCACCCTAACACTACCACGCACAGTACAAGGAGCTAGTCTCACACTGAGCATCACAAAGTCCAGTAATAAGTGCTTGCAGAATTGAACTCCAAACTGGCAATGTATTTTAACACCAAAATTATTATCATTATAGTACTACAGACTAAATACTGGCTCTGCTGAAGTGAGTGCTTTGCTACTGCATTGAAAAGGACCAGGATTTGTCCTTGAAAGAGGAATAACTGGTGGGTAGAAATAGAAATCTTTAGAATGAGGGAAAAGAATCTTCAGATATGAAGACTGTATCATTTCCCCTAACCTGGCATTTCTCAAACCAAGAGGTTGCCCTTCACGGAGAAGTGTTGACTTCTTTTCTGAGGAATGCACCTGCCAGCTCAAGAAATACAAAGTACAGGATGCAACCTCTTTTTCTTGCTGGACTACTTCCTCAGGAACTTAGCAACTTCGGAATCATCTAATACCTGTGCTTAGTATTGAGTTTATTTTTTATTTATTTGTTTATTTTACACACACAGCCTGTGCCTTCCTGAGCCCCTCAGACTCCAGAGTGACACCTCATCCAGCCCTGCTCTTGTCTGGGATGGGGTGCATTGGTGCTAGCCCCAGTGCTGCCCCAACTCAGTTATAGTATAAAAGACCAAGCAATAAAATAAGAGAGGTATAAAGAGATGAGCTTTACACACTTAAGCTATTCTTCATCCTCCCAGGAAAGCATTTCCTTCCACGTACAGGAAAAATTCTCGTTTTTTCTGCAGAAAATGGTGGTCAGCAGAGGAATGCAGAAAATTGATCCTCTTGGTAATAAAGGTGGGTCTGTGTTTATTGCTGGTCCCAGATCAAATGTGCTATGTTTCTAAATAAAGCTTCATTTTTACCTCTCCTGACCACCCAGGATGTGACACCTGTGCAACCCAGCCCCTGCAGCCCCACTGGCACTGCGACCATCCCAGAGGTGCCAGGAACTGGCTGTAGGATTCACTGAACAATCCTGCAGCCAACACTCAAGAGGGAAGAGGCTCCAACTCACTCCCTCTTAAAGGGTCGGTCATAACTAAATAAGCTATTAGCTCAACACGAAGCTCCAGGCAGATCTGTCCAGTAAAAACAGCACCCTCTTCCCAGCATAGATGACTGATAACAAGCCTGCCAGGCGGCTCTTCACGACCGCTGTTGGAACCACAACCAGGCTGCGATGCCCCGACCTCACTGAGTGCTGGGAACGCCAGCTCGGAACAAGGTGGTGCCAGAAGAGGAGCAAATCACACCAGGCTTTCCAAGCGCGCAAACCCATTTCGCAGCCAGGGTAAGACAAGCCATCAGCACCTGGACTAATAGAAAAAGGAAGCCCTGCGCCTGCTCAGCTGCCAGGACATTGGGACTTGGCTGTCAGCACAAGAAATACAAGGTACAGGATGCAAAAAGCAATCTCTTTTTCTTGCTGGACTACTTCCTCAGGAAGTCAGCAACTTTGGAACCACCTAAGACCTACGTTCAGTATTGAGTTGTGTGTGTAAAAAACCCCCCAAAAAACAAACCCAACTGATGCCTTCCCAACCCCCCCCCAGCAGCACTACCCAGCCCAGTGTGGACCAGGGCACCAGGAACGGCGGCTCTGAACAAGGCGGTACCATAGCAGTGCATTCACACCAGGTTTTCCAAGCACACCCATTTCACAGCCAAGGTAAGACAAGTTGTCAGTGCCCTACCCAGAGGCAGAGGAAGCCCCGCTCCTGCCGGGCTGCCAGGACACGGGGGCAAGCTGGACTCAATCTCAGACAGGGCTCAGCTGGCCCTCCTGCAAGCAGAGGGGGCGGGGAATCAAAGGTGGCAGCTGCTCAGCCTCTCCTCCTGCAGCGCCCCCAGGGAGCACCCCCCCCCAAACAGGAAAGGACAACATCAACAGCAGTACACAACAGGAAGTAACCGGGCATAGTTTTCATCGACAAAAGTACCGATCAAATGTAAACCTATTTCCTTAATTTATAAATTGTCATAAGGTAATGAAATACGTCATGGGAGAATGGAGCCCCTCTTACTTAGATAATTCATCTAAAAGAATGAGGTTCAAAGAAAAAGCTGAAGTACCTCTGTGTATACCCAGCTACTTACCCTATAAGCAGGGCTTAACCCTTTTCAGTCTTGGGTGCCTAAAGTGAGGCAAAAAGAAATGTGAAAATCCAGAACTCTTGGTTCCTAAATGATACCTTTTCTTAGACCAACTGAGAAATTGCAAAAAAAATCTTTTTCTGCAAGCTTTTGGGCTCATGTGCCCTTCATCAGGCTCGGGGACTTTTTACTATCTTGAACTTTCCCCATATGTAGGAAATAAACTATTAATACATTATAGTTTATTTCCTACATATGCTCTATATATAGATATAATAAATTTGCCTGAGCCTGATGAAGGGCACATGAGCCCGAAAGCTTGCAGAAAAAGATATCTATACCTATATCCATATATAATTGCAAGTATTTAGATATATATAGATAGATATTTGCAATTTATCTATCTATCTATCTATCGAGAGATATTTGCAATTATTTAGCTATATATATCTCTATATATATTTGCAATTATATATATATATCTTTTTCTGCAAGCTTCCAGGCTCATGCGCCCGTCATCAGGCTCAGGGAAAGTTGGAGAGGGGAAAAAGTCCTCATCGATAGGAAATAAACTTCATTTTCGCACAGGGGAAGCAGAAGCTGGAAAACCGTCCCTCTGGGCCCAATGAGAGTCTCTTTGCGAGCTTGCTCTCTTGTGTAGATCAAGTATCCCTACAGATAAGATGCGTTTCTCTTGCCCTGCCCCTAGGTGTAAGTGTTAGTACCAGCATACGATTACGCAGTGGCGACAGGTAGGGGGAGCACGGGGGCAGGCGGGAGCAATGGTGCCCCCCCAGGAGGGCTGGCTAGGGAGTTGCGGCACCAGGAGAAGCACCGCTGGCACTTACAGGCAAGCCCCTGGCCCTTCTGGGCACACTGCTGGCACTTCCGGGTCAGTTGGCATGATCAGCCACAGGGGAGCCCCCTTCCCGGTTGCTGACTTGCCCCTGCGGGGGGTAAGTGCGCCCCCCAACTCAGGAGGCACCAGTGGCCCATGATACTATGCCCTACTTTTTTGCCCTTTGTCTTCCTCATTTCCAGCTATTTCCTTCTTCACAGATAGCCTCTTTTCTACCTTGAAATACAACTACTGTAGAATCTCCTGTACTCACCTTTGGCTTCTCTCCTGCAGCTTTTTTCCCCATCCTCCCTTCCCTGCTCTACCTTTTGTCTTTCTAATTTTACCTACTTATGTTCTCACTGACATCCTACTGCACTTCTGGCTTTTCTCATTTAGCTTCTCTCACCGCGACATCAGGGAGTAAATCAAGGGCTCAGTGACCAACTGTTCACCAGGGCACCCTTGGGAAAAACCAGGAGTAATGGCCACAGACTCCTGGAAGAGCAGTTTAGGCTTAACATTAGGAAAAACTTCTTCACAGTCAGGGAGTCCAGGCTGTGGAATAAGCTCCCTCCAGAGATGGTGCAATCACCTACCCTGGAAATCTTCAGGAGGAGACTGGACAGTCACCTTGCTGGGGTCACCTGACCCCAGTTGTCTTTCCTGCCTGGTGCAGGGGGCTGGGCCCGATGTTCTTGTGAGGTCCCTTCCAGGCCCTTACAACCTATGAATCTATTCCTTGGAGTCTCAGAACAGCAGAGTCTCCCTGTGCCAGAAGAAGGGCAATTGCACCCACAAGCTTGCCAAGAACTTTCTTCCAACTACTCAGTTGGTCTATCACATCTGCCCAAAGAAGCTTGCCTGCATACATCCTTAGATCAACATGGCTACAACCAAAAACCCAGTACCAGCATACTGCAGACTGGTGGTACCTCCTGCCTGAGGTAGGACCAGCCTGAGCCAAACCGCCCTGTACATTCATAGCACAATACGGTCACACAGGAGTGGGGCTCGAAGGGACCTCCAGGGGCATCTAGTCTGACCCCCTGCCTGAGAAGGATTAGCCCTCTCCAAGCCATTCCCTGCGATCAGGGTTTGAATTGCATTTTAACCCTTGTGGGGGTCTACAAAAAAGATTGGGCTACCCATCACGATGCCCCCAATAAAATCGGAGACCCCTCAGGTTATGATTTTCAAATCTTATAGGAGGGCTTGTCTCTTATGGGATGGCTCAGCCCCCCTGAGCTTCCCTGTAATTTGACCCCATAATTCAAATCCTGCCTACATGCCATCATCTAAACCAGGGATAGGCAACCCCTGACCCAATGCCAGTGTGTGGCAGGCAAAGGCATTTTGCTTGGCTTATGCCTCAGGGCAGATGGTGGGGAAGGGTTGGGGCTGCACTACCACAACAAGGATTGGGCCCTCATGGCTCCTCCACTGTCTGCCCCGGCATGCCAACCTCTTTCAAGTTGAAGTTACAGGTGTTTTTGGCACTCTGCCAACAAACATTGCCAACCCTGATCTAAATTCTACATAAGACTACCTCCACCCTGACATGACATCCGTAATCTAAATCATGGCACCCATCATCTACTACTTTCAACCCTGACACAACACAGACCTTACACCCTAACCTGCCACAGGTGAAGCAGGGGAACCTGGGCAGCCAATGTCCCCCCTCTCTGAAATGTCACTATGCTCAAGAGGTCCCAGGTGGAAGAATTTGAAGGTGAAATCTGTTGACTCAGGCATCTTAGAATCATAGAAAATGAGGGTTGGAAGGGACCTCAAGAGGTCTAGTTCAGTGGTTTTCAACCTTTTTGTTCCAGTACCCATTTGTAAACATCCATGGCTAGTCCCGAACCAGTGCCCCTCACTCCCAACCCACTGCCCTCTTCTTCCCAGGCCCCAGTGCGTAAGGGCTGGGGGTGGAGAACCATGGGGGACCCCAAGCAGCTCCTTGCAGGCTGAAACTGCCAGCCTGCAAGGGAAAAGCCCTGGTTTCCCATGTTTTTCTCCTTTAAAGAAGAATCTATTTTTAAAGTTTGTTGATCCATTTTAAGTTTGTTCGTGACCCTTTCGTATATTCTTGCTGCCCATTTTTGGGTCCAGATCCACGGGTTGAGAAATGGTGATCTAGTCTAACCCCCTGCTCAAGCAGGACTATCCCCAACTAGATAACTCCTGCCAGGGCTTTGTTAAGCCAGGCCTTAAAAACCTCCAAGGATAGAAGATCCTTGGAGACAAGAGCACATCTGCCACACTTGTTCATTCTGAAAAAAGAAGATGAAGATCATATCATCATAGTATCATAGTAGCTAGGGTCAGGAGGGACCTGAACAGATCATCTAGCCTGACCCCCTGCCACAGGCAGGAATGAATGCTGGGTTCACCAGACCCCAGACAGGTGATCATCCAACCTCCTCTTGAATTTGCCCAAGGTAGGGGCAAGGACCGACTCCCTGGGAAGTTGGTTTCAGATTTTGGCCACCCTAACTGTAAAATATTGCCTTCTGATCTCCAACCTAAACCTATTCTCCATCAGCTTATTACCATTGTTCCTTGTCACTCCAGGTGGTGCTGGGGAGAAAAGAGCTCTGCCTATTTGCTGTTGATCCCCCTTGATGAGCTTGTAGGCAGCTACCAGGTCCCCTGGTGATCTTCCCCTGGCCAAAAGCTGGTTTTAATTTTGAACTGCCTGATGACAGCATATTTCCTTAACCCATCATGTCACTTAATAATAAAAAAAGACAGGAATGGAGGAAGCAGAAATTCAGGTCATAGAATCATAGAGCGGTGGGGCTGGAAGGGACCTCCAGAGTGCATCTTGTTCAATCCCCTTCCTGAGGCAGGATCATCCTTATCTAAACTATCCTATACAATCCATCATCTAAACCAAGGGTGGGCAAAATACAGCCCACGGGCCAAATCCAGCCCGCTCCAGTCCTGCCCAGCCCAGGCGTGGCGAGCAGTGCGGGGCATGGTGCATGTGGCCAGTCTGACCACCCCCCGGCACACAGCAGGCAGCAGTGGGGCAGCACTGGATTTCATTTCCTGGCAGCCCAGCAGCGGCAGCTCCTTCTGGCTGCTGGGGCTGATCCAGCTGACCCACAACTGGCAGCAGTGCACTGCTGGAACTTCTGGGCGTGCGGATCACTGCTGGCACTTCCAGATCAGCAGGATTGGCTGTGGGGGGCCCACTTCTCCTGGCGCACTTCCTGGCCGGCGCTCTCATGGGGGGCACCAGTGCTCTTGCCTGCCCCCCCTGCCTGGGAACGCTGGCTGACAGGGGGTGTATCAGCACTCTCAGGAGGTGTACGTGCACCCCCTACGTGTCGCCACTGGGCAGTGGATTGCAGCTCTGCCCGGTGCCCCAGGTCTGCGCTTGTCACCGCCCCAAATCCCAGGGCCCCCCTGGCCCCACCTGCCCATTTTGCTCCTGGACACCACTCCCTGCTGGCCCACGACCCCATTGCAGCTGCCCGGCTGTGCATCCTGCCCACATGGACTCTCCCCCCGGCAGTGGGTGCAGGGCAAACAGGCTGGGGTACCTGGGCAGAGGGGCTGGGGCTGGCAGTGGAGGGACCCCCCCCCAGCCTGCAGGATCAGCCACAGGGGATCCCCCCAGTCACTGACTGTCCATCCAGGGGCAGCAAGTGCCCCCCGACTCAGCAGTCGCCCATGCCACTGCCCACACACCCCTGTGACAGGTGCAAGTTCTGTGGGCAGGGGCACATGGGCAGTGGATCATAGCTTTGCCCCAGCCCTGACCCTGGCCCTGTACTGTCACCACTCCAAGATCCCTGCCCCAGGCCCAGATGCAGTTCCCTGCCCACCCTCATGCCCTGCCCGCACAGTTCCCAGCAAGCCTCCATGGACATACTGGGATTGCAGGACTGTGACAGTGCAGGATTAGGGCAGAGCCATGATCTGCTCTCTGCACATCCCTGCCTGCAGAACCCACACCTGTCCCAGGGGTGTGCAGGCAGCAGATCTCGGCTCTGCTCCAGGCCCCAGCCCTGCACTGTTAGCGCCCCGCAACCCCACCCCGTGATTCCAGCCTCGCCCGCCTGTCCTGCTCCCTAATACTGCTCCCCACCCGCCCGCAGTCCCATCCCACATAGGGAGTTTTAGTGAGCTGCTGGGTGATAGTGGGCAGCGGGGGGCATAGGAGACTTACCCAGCCCATGACACCTTAGCAAAAGTCCTTATGTGGCCCATGGGTCACATAGATGGCATACAGTGCACCCTCAGCAAGTTTGCAGGTGACACCAAGGTGCGGGGAGTAGTAGATACACTGAAGGGTAGGGCTAGGATTCAAAGTGACTTGGACAAATTGGAGGATTGGACCAAAAGAAATCTCATGAGGTTCAACAAGGACAAGTGCAAAGTCCTGCACTTAGGACAGAACAATCCCATGCACCAGCACAGGTTGGGGGCTGACTGGCTGGGCAGCAGCTCTGCAGAAAAGGACCTGGGGGTTACAGTCGACAATAAGCTGAATATGAGCCAACAGTGTGCCCTTGTTGCCAAGAAGGCTAATGGCATACTGGACTGCATTGGTAGAAGTGTTGCCAGTAGAACAAGGGAAGTGATTATTCCCCTCTATTCAGCACTGGTGCGGCCACATCTGGAGTAATGGGTTCAGTTTTGGGCCCCCCAGTACAGAAAGGATGTGGACAAATTGGAGAGAGTCCAGCAGAGGGCAACAAAAATGGTGTGGGGGCTGGAGCACATGACTTCTGAGGAGAGGCTGAGGGAACTGGGCTTATTTAGTCTAGAGAAGAGAAGATTGATGGGGGATTTAATAGCAGCCTTCAACTACCTGGAGGGTGGTTCAAAAGAGTATGGAGTAGGCTGTTCTCAGTGGTGGCAGATGACAAAACAAGGAGCAATGGTTTCAAGTTGTAGCAAGGGAAGGTTAGGGTAGATATTAGCAAGAATTTTCTCACTTGGAGGGTAGTAAAACACTGGAACAGGTTACCCAGAGAGGCTGTGGAATCTCCATCCCTGGAGGTTTTTAAGACCCGGCTGGACAAAGCTTTGGCTGGGATGATTTACCTGGGGATGGCCCTGCTTTGAGCAGGGGGTTGAACTAGATGACCTCCTGAAGTCCCTTCCAACGCTTATTTTCTATGATTCTATGAAATAATTGCCCACTCCTGATCTAACTCTGCATAAGATTAACCCTGACACAACACAAGACACTCTAACCTGCTGCAGGGGAACTGCCGCAGCCAACTTCCTGCTTCTATGAAAGGTTGTCAAGACAGGCTCAAGAGATTCCAGGATGTGTCTGTT